ACGCACGCTGGCTGAAGGCACTCTACTCCACCGCCTCCCCTCGGCATGTGCCCTTGGGAAGCATGTTGGAATAAACCTCCGAGCATCTGGGAGACGGTGTCTAGCCCACAGCTCAGTCAATGCTTTCTCCACGGATGGTGATGGGGGCTCTGAGCAGGCGAGGAGTTCTCCTCTGAGCCCTGGCCAGCCCTTGGGTTCACTGGGAGGTGTCCCCTCACACAGACGCTGAGACCTGGCACCAGGACCCCCAGCAGACAGGAACCGGGCCCGTGGTTGGGAAGCACGGGGAGCCTGCCAGCTCCAGGAATAACGTCCCCATGTTCAGTGCCAGCCTCTGGGCCCTAGCGCTGACTTCAAGACCTGAGTCACCGAGGACGTTTAAAAATAGAGTCTATTAAAATGGCCTGAGATCAACCAAAGGACTTGTATGCATGCATATGAGCCTAACCAATGGGCACAGACACCAGGGGCTGAGGGCATGAGTGTGCACTCTATTGTCTCAGAGAAAAGCAAACAAACAAACAAACAAAAAACATAAAAAACAGAAGCTATACTCTAAGGCAGTGGTTCTCAACCTTCTGGCCCTTTAAATACTGTTCCTCATCTTGTGACCCAACCATAAAATTATTTTTGTTGCTACTTCATAACTGAAATCTTGCTACTGTGATGAATCGTCATGTAAATATCTGATATGTGGGATGGTCGTAGGCGACCCCTGTGAAAGGGTTGTTCGACCGCCAAAGGGGTCGCGACCCACAGATTGAGAACCGCTGCTCTAAGGGTTACAACAGAAAAAGCTTCATTTAACAAAGACTTGAACTCCCATTCAGGATGCCCAATAAGGGGTTAATTTCCAAAATATACAGGGAACTCATACAATTTAACAAAAGAAAGGCAAACAATCCAATTAAAAAATGGGCAAAGGACCTAAATAAACACTTCTCCAAAGTGGACATACAAAAGGCCAAGAGACATGAAAACATTCGCAAAGTCACTAATCATCCGAGAGATGCAAATCAAAACAACAATGAGGTACCATCTCACACCTGTCAGAATGGCTATCATCAACAAATCAACAAAGGACAAGTGCTGGAGAGGATGCGGAGAAAAAGGAACCCTCGTGCACTGCTGGTGGGAATGCAGACTGGTGCAGCCATTGTGGAGAACAGTATGGAGTTTCCTCAAAAAGTTAAAAATGGAACTCCTATTTGACCCAGTGATTCCACTTCTAGGACTATATCCCATGAAACTGGAAACACCCATCAGAAAGGATATAGGCAACCCTATGTTCATAGCAGCACAATTCACAATAGCTGATATTTGGAAACAGCCTAAGTGCCCATCAGCAGATGAGTGGATTAAAAAACTGTAGTACAGCTACACAATGGAATACTATGCTGCTGTAAAAAAGAAGGAACTCTTACCATTTGCAACAGCATGGATGGATCTGGAGAGCATTATGCTAAGCAAAATAAGCCAATCACGGAAAGATACGTATCACATGATCTCACTCATATGTGGAATCTAATGAACAAAATAAACTGATGAGCAAAATAGATCCAGAGACATAGAGGCATGGAACAGACTTTCAAACCTCAGAGGGAAGGTGGGGAAGGGTGGGAAGAGATCAACCAAAGAACTTGTCTGCATATATGCATAACCCATGGGCACAGACAATAGTATTAGGAAGGCCTGGGGGGGGGGGGGGAGGCAGGCTAGAAGAGATCGATGGGGAAAAAAGGTGTATTACTTTCAACAACAAATAATTTTTTTAATTAAAAATAAATAAAAAAACAATTTTAAAATATTAAAAAAAGAAGTGCCAGCTGAAGGTGAAATAGAAATGGTTCTTGCCCTCAGTCACCTCACCTCACTCAGGCGACCTTGATGTTTGAACACGATTGATTATAGTTTGTAACTTTGACCGACATCATCAAAATTGATTTTAATGAGGTCAAAATTCTTTCTAAAAGGGAAATGTAGTGTCTCAACGAGGGCCCTTTGGTTTAAGATTGCGTGCTCAGTCCAGCTAACTGGAATGGCCAAGGGCTCCGTTAAGGGTGTGTACAGATCTCACGGGACCTGAAGGGCAGGGACACGCTGGGCTCCCGGAGCTGGGCCTGGAGAGCCAGCAGGAACTGAAGTCACAGCCTCTCTATCTCTGGGCTGCTTGATTCTCCAGGTGAGTCCTCTCATTCTCTTTGCAGATTCTCTGCTCACTGAACCGTAAGGGAGGGAGCTTGGGTTTAGCTCCTCCCCGCCCCAACCCCAGAAGGTAACCCCCTCAGTCCCTGGTCCCTCCACGTTGCTGAGAATCTGGCCAGCTTCGTGGGCCCACTCTGTGCTCTCTCTGGCCGACCCCTGTGGCCAGGGGGGCCGGGGTGTGCGGGAAGGGCCACGGGCAGAGGGTGGTCATTACCTTCCCACGTCAACAATACAAAGTAAACTATGTTAAAAAAAAAAAAAAAGGGACATTTACATGCAAACACGGAATTAGGGACATTTACATGATTCAGCAAGAAAGTGACTACACAGGAAGGTCATCATTAGGGAATGAAGAACAAACACACTAAACATTGGCTCTCTTTTGTCCAAACAATGTAAAATTTTGTTTAAAATGGACGTAAGGGTTCGTTTAAAATTTAATTTGAAACACTGACACGGCTCCAGTTGCTAACTACTACCCCCCCCCCCCACACACACACACCCCTACACACCTCCCCCACCAAGGCCACCATTTGCATTCGTTTCTGGTTTGGCCTGCTAGTCACTCTTTGGTAAAAAAGAAGCACATACACGTTTTTATTTCCACTTCTTTCATTCACAAGAAGCAGCACGTTATGTAGTGTGTGAACCTTATTTCCCACAGGACAGCATTAGCCTGGAAGCTAACGGGAGCATGGAACTCATGCCTCCTTCCCACATGGCCGTGGAGGGCTCCCCATAGTGTGGGGGTGAACAGAGCCTATTCAGCCGGCTCCCCTAGACACACTCAGGAGCTTCCATTTGTTGCTCCTGCAAACAAAGCCTCCATGAATAAACGCGTGCCCATGTTGCTTCAGATCTGTAGAGACGTGTCTTTAGGGTAGAAGCCTAAGGAGGGATTTCTGGGACAGAGCATACCTGCCTGGGTCATCTTGTTGACTACTGCTCAGTTCCTCCCTTCGTATGAGCACTTGAGCTGTGCAACCTCACCGAGAGTCGCGGTGAAATTCTGGGGTTTTTGCTAATCTGATAGGCCAGAATGGGCACTTCAATGTAATTTTAACCTGTATGTGTCTCATTGTGAGTGGAGCTGGTCACCTTTCATACAGGACTCTTTGCCTCTTTTTAAAAATATATATTTTATTGATTTCAGAGAGGAAGGGAGATAGAAACATCAATGATGAGAGAGAATTATTACTCAGCTGCCTCCTGCACACCCTGCATTGGGGATGGACCCTGCAACCCGGGCATGTGCCCTGACCAGGAATCAAACCGTGAACCTCCTGGTTCATAGGTCGACGCTCAACCACTGAGCCACACTGCTGGCTGGGCTCTTTGCTTCTTTTTAAATTAAATGTTTCCGTTTGAAGTAATGTAAACTCACATGCTGTTGTAAGAAATAATTCAGAGATCCCTGTACCTTTCCCCAGCCCCCCTCCCCAAGGTAACATCATACAATGTTATAGTGCAATGTCACACCCACCATAGGGACATCGATAGGCAGCATACAGCACAGTTCCTTACCTTTCTTTTCATGGGACCTTTTTCATGTGGAAAACATAAACACAACAACAATGAAAAACCCAGATAACCCCAAAAAAGTTCCCAAGAGAAAATAATTACACCATCACACAAAGTCTTCAGAATATTATATTTCATAAAAGACAATGATAAAAAAGTACAAACATTTCCATGAGCAGCAAAAAAAAAAAAAAAAAAGAATACAAGAAATGAATAGCATTTAATTCAGTGCATTTTATGTAAAAGCCTTTCGGATCTTAATAAATAAGTGAGTCTTAAGTACACTTTCTCTTTCTGATAAACACCACTATGGCCATTTTAGTTCTCTCAACTGGCAAACTTGCAATAAATCTTGAGTGCTAATGTGAAAAAAAAGATACATAGAGAAATATAAGACAGACAAGCAAACACCAAATAAAACAACACAAACTCTGCTTTCTCTCATATGTAGCCTGCAAAAAGAGGGAGAATATTGTATTGACTTTTCCATTTTGTTTTAAAGTGGGTATTAATCTCTTGGCTGGAAAAGAAGTATAAGCTAGTTTCTAATATGTAATTTTGTATTTACGTAATATTGTAAGTAAGGTTTTCTTACTGAACACCTTTTCCCAAAATACTAACAAAAATTTAATATTTTAAAAAATATTCGTTTAACCTTAATTTTTGGCAAAATTTAAATGACTATCTTCACGATGACTTTGATATAATGTTATAGCAAATGTGAACACTTTTCCTTTTTCTACAAATAGACCCATTAGCCCGGCCAGTGTGGCTCAGTGGTTTGGTTGAGCATCGATCTATGAACCAGGAAGTCACAGTTCAATTACCGGTCAGAGCACATGCCGGGTTGCAGGCTGGATCCCCAGTAGGGAGCGTGCAGGAGGCAGCTGATCAATGATCCTCTCACATCATTGATGTTTCTCTCCCTCTTCCTTCCTCTATCTGAAATCAATAAAAATATACCTTAAGAAAATAGGCCCATTGATCACTGTTACTTTGTCCAGTTGAAGGCACTATATAACTTTCCCAGCAGTGCCAGAGGGATTTATAATAACTCTTATGTCCACATATGTATGCTTCTTGATTTTGAGATTAAGAAATACAATGATTAAGTTATCAGAGGGTGTCTTCATTTTACACTTGCCTGACTTGATTTGTTTAGAAATGAAGTAGTGCTTTTTCCGTAGACATACCTAGCATCCCACCTGACAGAGTAGGTAAGAACACATGTTCACTAATACATCCACCAAACAAAAAGGTTTACAATATATGTGTTAGTCTTGTGGAATAGATTTATTTTCCGATAATAAAGGTTAATTGGGCAAAACTCTGCCACTTTTATTGAAAGATATAAATGATTACAGGCAAAAAGCAATTTTAAGTCTGCAGGGAAAAAACAGTAAAAACAAACAAAAGACAAAAAGCGAACTGGTAAGATGTTTTTCACAGAACGACATGCCATATTCAAAACTGAAAAAAGCAAAATATTCATGGCCCACAGCTAAAACAAAAATTACTATTAGACTTAATCCAAAAAAATAAGGCAGATACTAGTAGAACTGAGTTCTCTTGAAATTATAAAATGTATATCAAAATAAAACGATTCCAAAATTTGGGCAGCTCCACATTAAAAAAATATATGATTTCCTAATAAGACTCCAAAACAGTCCTAATTACCCCAACTAAAGTATTTTTAATTATTTTATGGATTATGTTCCTATGCCCCAACTATCTTGTTAGTGATCAACAAATGGTAACTTCCTAATTTACTTTCTTCCATTTCATTGAATTAAACAACTACATTGACTATGAGAGACAGCAAATGAACAGATAGACAAATTAAGAACACATTGACTTTCAGCAGTTTGATTATTCACTACTTTCAGTACAAGCAAAAAAAAAAATTAGAGACAAATATTTTGGAAATATTTCTAAGAAAAAAAATGTGGGAAAACTCTGTTTTGTATCATAACAGAGAGCTATCGGTTTTCTAAAAGTACAAGAAATTCACTTATTTTGCGATTTGGTTAGTGATCATTTGTGTTACCAATATTGCCATAGAAAACGCCAACTTCAAAAGTTAAATTTACAACCTGAGATAAATACCATATTTCTATTTCAGGTGAACAATCTATGAGTCAACTGTTACCCACACATCTCTCAAATACAGATTTCTATTGTTCGTCATTGTTGTTAAAGATTCACTGTATAGATAAACAATTTTTTTGTTTTAAATTTGTGAAAATACCTTAAGATATTTAACGAATCTTTGGTTAACAATAATTGATAATTTTCAAAGTAAAAATACTGTTTGGTTTTGCCATAAAAACTTCATCCAAACTTAAGATAAAGTAATATACTTAATGTCAGGTAATAAGACCTGTTTTCTGAGACGTGCCTTATAACATCAACATATTTAGATAGCTGATTATGTGTTAGGATATAATTCTATTAAATTATGCTTTCAGTGAGGAAATTTTAATAATTAACACCAGAGATGTAATTTCTTAAAAGTGAAAAAAAAATACAATTTGAATGAAATTGGGCAAGATTAAAAAGAATCCCTTCCAAACTTGAATTCTATGAGTCTGAGAATTAAACTTAAAATAAAATTTATTTTCTACCTACTAAGCATTTATCTTCATAAAAATATAACATTTCATTTCTTATCTAATAGTATAATTCATTTGTATATTATAGGTACTATTGGGTTTTCCATATAACACATTCTTTAAAAAAATTGTTTTGATTTTTTTTCAAACTAAAAAAATTTTTGGCTCCTCTGAACTGGAAATAATAAAAGTGCTATTCACTATTAACCAAAACAAACAAACAAACAAACAAGTGTACAAACACACACAACATTGGGAACATTTTTTGAGGCACAAAATCCCTGACACTTAACACCAGAGGTACATGAAAAGCATTTAACATGAGGAGGTCCTTGATCTCATGTCACACCATAACTTTTAAGATTTTTTCTTGGCATTAGCCATGCAATATGCATAAACATTACGGTTGTGATTTAGCAAAATCTGATGAGACTGCAAGCAAGGAAAAAAACAGGCCATCCTGGCAGGAAGAAAAGCGGCTTAAGCCGTTTCTTCTACCCTCAGGGCCCTAGGGAAGCTGACTTCTCCCCACACAGAGGCTGAAGGTCTAAAGCTCAACACTAGTATAACAGCTTACTGTAGTCACTGGCTGTCAATTATTGACAGTTCCTTCATGTCACACAAGGGTTAGCCTTTGTCCAGTCTCATAAACGTACACTGTTTGTTCCATGCAAATAAAAAATGTTTATAAAAGCCCAATAAAGGCATAAGCCATTACATGCAACACACCTTATTGTTCAACAATTTCAACACATCAGTGTACATCCCCTATGTACAAAACAGGTTTCCACAGAAATAAAGCATTCTCTTGAGTTAAATTATAGATTTCCGTATAAAAATGTCTTCCTTTGCAGGGTGCTCTTAACCTCCAGTCTTAGCGATGGCACCTGGTCTCTGGAGCGCTCGCTGGGGGGGTTGGGGGGGGCGGGTCTCGGGATGGGAGGAAGGAGGCTGCTGTAGGCAACCCCACACTGTGGTCACTGAGGACTGCCGGCTCCTCTGCATAACGGGCCCAGGACACGTCCATCCACTGACCTCCTTCAAGAGCGCACCCTGAGTTTATGATCAGCATTGCAGTCTAGGTTGCCATGACAGTGACTTCTTCAATAGTCTTCGATTGGAGCCAACTCTGGCGTGAGGTTCACGGAGATGTTTGTATACAGCCTGTCCACCAGGATGGTGGGCTCGTAGATTAAGTTGTTCAGCCCGTCGATGTACTGGCGCTCCTTCGAATACCTCAGCAGCTTGTATCTAGGGTGTTGGAGAGAAAAAGGAAAAGTAACAGAATGCTCAAGGTCATCCTTATGAATGAAAGCACTTAATGCTCTATACAATTGCTGGTTCTCAAACATAATGAAACACCTCCCTACACCATCGTTCTCAGTGAGCATTATTACGAGGCTTAAAATGCCACCTGAAAAAATGACTCTGCACCCTTATGACCCAGACACCCTTAAGGGGAAAAATGTGTTGTGTTTTTGGCTAAGAAAATCCTTTTTTAGTATAACTAGTTAACTGGGCTCTTTAATAGAACATAAATATATGTGTGTGTGCGGATATATGTATATTCTTCAAAACAAGCACAAAAATGCTTTACTTCTATATAAAAAATGACATCGACAGAAAATGCCCTTGGGGAGGTTTTCTGGGTACAACGTGTATTTTAAAGCTTTCACACATTGAATAATTCTGGAACGTGGTCTCTGAAGATGATATTAAACTTACCGTCCTAAAAACTGGACTTCACCCCGATGATGGTGAGGAATGGATTTGTATTTTCCCAAGTCTCCCTCGGGCCTCGTTACATTATACCCAGCATAGTGAACCCTGCAATACCACACATGCAAATGAAACATAAAGAGAGAACATCTGACACAAACACTGATGATCTGAGTTCAATTTAAAATGCAAAAGAATGCTCGAATGGGGTGTTGTCAATAATTTCAGAAGGCCCTCTTGGGGGGGGGGGGTGGAGGGAGAAACACAAAGCAGGATTTAGGAATCTCAAAACTTTTCCATCCCAAAGCATCTTTTCTTGGGATAGCAAAGTACAAGTTACCTAATACAAAGAAAAGTTAGAGGAGCTCTGCTACTGAACTGTTCGTACAGCCACATACCTGTTCCAAAGGTCATCGTCTTCTCCTCCCCACCCCCAGAAGGCGTTAGGAAAGCCGTTGATCTTCCTAAACTGCGCCACGGTCAGTCCACTTACACCACCAAAGAACTCTTTATATGGAAGACTAAAAACAAAGCAGAGCAGAGCATCCTAAAAATAAAACCAGGACAGGGCGGCGCATGAAATCAAGCCTTCGGTCTTCCGTGTGCCTTGTGAAACAGACCGCTGCTTCCCAAATAATTATGTTGATTCAATCATATTCTGGGAAATGGAAAGTAGCCCCAGATACAAAACACTTCTACATTTTAGTGAAACACACACACCTGAATGTGTTTGTTACAGAAAACACGTGTGGGAATTGACATTTGATATTTAGAATTGTTACTTTATAATACTAAAAACCTGGTGTTCAAAAATTATTTTTACAGCAAAGTGAACTTAATTAAACCTACCAATAGCTGTCGATTGGAGGTTAGATGTTGCTAAGCTAATAAAATTTTCTACATTAATAAAATGTAACTCTAAATGCATTAGTTATTATATAGACCAGGACACATGTATATTAGTAAAGACAAGTCTAGTATTTAATTTTAAGATGACAAGCTGCCTATACCTATAATATTTCTGTTTGGATTACAGCCCCAAAATACTCATTAATATTTACAAACACATTTATTTTTAATGCACTAATATTTAGAGAAATTATTTTTTATTAAGATATAACTGACATATAACATCGCATTACTTTTAGGTGTTTAACAGATATATGTATATATTGTGAAATAATTATCAAAATAATTCTAGTTAACATCACCGTAGATAGTTAGAAAACTCTTTCTTTTCTTGTGATGAGGATCTACTCTCTTAGGAACTTTCAGATACTCAATAGAGCAGTGATGGCGAACCTTTTGAACTCAGCATGTCAGCATTTTGAAAAACCCTAACTTAACTCTGGTGCCGTGTCACATATAGAAATTTTTTGATATTTGCAACCATAGTAAAACAAAGACTTATATTTTTGATATTTATTTTATATGTTTAAATGCCATTTAACAAAGAAAAATCAACCAAAAAAATGAGTTCGCGTGTCACCTCTGACACGCGTGTCATAGGTTCACCATCACTGCTCTAGAGTATTGTTAACTCTAGTCCCCATGCTGTCCGTTACATCCCGGAACTGATTCATCTCAGAATTGGAGCTTGGACCTTTGACCCCTTTCACCCACTTCACCGCCCACGCTCCCACCCCCAACGCCCCCCCACCCCCACCCCGCAACCTCTAGCAACCACCATTCTGTTCCCTGTATTTATGAATTCGGTTTTTTTAGATTCGACATATAAGTGAAATTACACAGCATTTGTCTTTCTCTGACAAATGGCTATATTCTTAAATTTGGATTTTACTTTCCTTACCTTTCCCTAACTCACAGTGCAAGGACTTTGTCTAAGTTATTCATTTACACGTAGACTGGATTGCTGAGACTGAGGTAGCACCCCTAGACTTGTAGACCTGAATCATCATTCTGGCCCCAAATGTGCGACTGGGCGCAGCATGCTGGAGCCATAGGAGGGCCGGGCAGAAAGCACACCGTGCCTGGCACCTGAAAACCAAGCTGAAGGCAATCTGGCTGGAACCACAGCACAGTGGCCTCAGAGAAAGGGAGAAATACGTCACTCTTTTGTTGAAGAAACTCTTGCCCCGTTCCCTGTGGGGAGCAGGGCTGTCTGCCGGCCAGGACGACTGAGCGGGCAGCAGAGAAAGCAAGCGTGGCTCTAGCCTGGGCCAAAAGGCATCCCAGACAGCAACAGCAACATGTACCCCAAAGACAAACCAGGGCGTCCCAGGTGACCTCAGGGGGCTCACATGGGGGAGTTAGGATTCTCGTAATAACACTGGGTGGGGTTCAAGAGGCTCAATAAGCATGTAGGGCACATTTGTGTTTCCCGCACCAGTTGGATTATCCTCGCCCAGGCGAGTGGTCTGGGAGGATCCTGAGATCCGTGGATAGGTTAGATGTGCGTGTGCGTGCGTGTGTGTGTGTGTGTGTGTGTGTGTGTGTGTGTGTAGGTGTGTTTGTTGACATGTCTGAATTGGCAAGCACTTTAATTCCATTTATTGTTCTGCTTAAGGGGAAACAGCCAACTGGACTATACCCAGAATGGGTAAAGACTAGATGAAATGAAGGCACAATAGACTGAAGAATGGAAAACGGAAGTTCAACAAGCCAAAGTCCAGTCATGTTTATCTTACACCATCCACAGGGGAAGACACCAACTGAGGCCTTAGCTCTCTGGCCGGAGCCCTCCGAGGGTGGGCATCCCGCTGGGCACAGGGGCTGCCTCCAGCTGCGTCCAGGGCTGAAGGCCCCGCTACCTGCCAGTCCCTGACCGGCCTCCACCTCCCTGAGCTGGCATTCCCACTTCTATCCAATCTTCCAAGATGCCTACCAACCCCAGGTTTAGTCTAGGTAGATATGAATATTTTATTCATGAGAAATTAGTATTTTCAAGTCAAAAGAGATCATTCAGAATTCTTAGTGTATATGACCTGTATGATATTCTTCAGTGAAAACCAATCACACTGAATCCAATCTGACTCTAGCAGGCTGACCCAAATGGCTCCAGAAGCGCTGAGCGCCAGATCCGGAACCTGAATGACCCTCCCAGGTAACGCCTGACTTGGAGTTCAGACGCTGTGGTATTAGGGAAAGGCTGTCTTATCATCACAACCAGCGAACGAGCAAAAGCCATTCTTTTCCGGTTTTAGTGCCGTTTCTCCTGGTTGGGTCACTGCCCCTCTCTACTCTGTAGTCGGGCAGCAGGCAAGCCTGTGGTACAGGAATCGCCTCCCCTATTCCGGTGGTTTTCTCTCCTCTCCACTTCCACGAGCCAATGAAAATCGTGGTGTCTTTCCCGGAGTAGACTGGCATGCTTTAATGTCAATGTAAGTTTCCGTCACGCAGCCCACTGAATGGGAGAATGTGTTTGCCAATGATACATCTGATAAGGGCTTAATATCCAAAATTTATAAAGAATTCATATAACTCAACACCAAAAACACACACACAATCCAATTAAAATTGGGCAAAGGACCTGAATAGACACTTCTCCAAAGAGGACATATGGAAGGCCAAGAGACATATGAAAAGATGCTAATCAGCAAAAAATGTAAATTAAAACAACAATGAACTATCACCTCACACCTGTCAGAATGGCTGCCATCAATAAATCAACAAACGCTGGCGAGGATGTGGAGAAGAGGAAACCCTCGTGCACTGCTGCTGGGAATGCAGACTGGTGCAGCCACCGTGGAGAACAGTATGGAGTTTCCTCAAAAAATTAAAAATGAAACTCGCCGAAACCGGTTTGGCTCAGTGGATAGAGCGTCGGCCTGCGGACTGAAGGGTCCCAGGTTCGATTCCGGTAAAGGGCATGTACCTGGGTTGTGGGCACATCCCAGTAGGAGGTGTGCAGGAGGCAGCTGATCGATGTTTCTCTCTCATCGATGTTTCTAACTCTCTATCTCTCTCCCTTCCTCTCTGTAAAAAATCAATAAAATATATTTTTAAAAAAAAATGGAACTGCCATTTGACCCACTTCTGGGTTTACATTCCAAGAAACCCAAAACACTAATTCAAAAGAATATATTCATGCCTGTGTTCATCGCAGCATTATTGACAACAGCCAAGATAGGGAAGCAACCCAAGTGTCCAAAACATACAAGTGAATAAAAAAGTTGTGGTCCAGATGCACAACAAAATATCCCTCAGCCATAAAAAAGCACAAAGTCTCACAATTTGCAACAGCATGGATGGACCTAGAAGGCATTATGCTAAGTGAAATCAGTCAGAGCAAGACAGACACGGTGTGACTTCCCTTACCTCTGGAATCTAAACAACAATATAAACAAACAAATAAAACAAAAACAAAGTCACAGATACAGATAACAAGCTGATGGCGGCCAGAGGGGAGGGGGATTCGCAGGACTGGGTGAGAAAGGTGGAGGGACTGAGAAGTATAAACTGGTAGATACAAATAGTTGTGGGATGTACAGTGCAGCACAGGGAATACGGCCCATAATATTGCAGTAACTTTGTATGGTGCCAGGTGGGGACTGGAAATACCAGGGGGACCACTTAGTAAAGTATCTGATTGTCTAACTACGACGCTGTACACCTGACACTAATAGAATACAGAATAATGTTCACTGTAAACTGTAATTGAAAAAAATATAAAAGTTACTGTCACAGCTCCAATGACTGTCTGCATTTCAAGGTATTTCCGGTTTTTTATTATTAAAAGCTGAGGATCCACAGCTTAGAAAGAAGAGAGGACCCTCCCTGCGCTGAGATGTCCCTGGAGAAGGGGTCGCAGACGGAGGCAGCGGGGGCTCTCACCCACACGGCAGGCCCACCGTGGCGACCACACGGCAGCCCCATGGACGGGCCCTGTTCCTCCAATGAACGGGGAAGCCAACTGCCAAGCACAGGTAACGGCAACCCCTCTAACTGTGAAAACCAGAAGATACACCCACACTTGCTCGGCTGTGGAAGCCGGGCTCCTGCCCCCTCCCCACCGATGTCTGCAGGAGGGAGAAGCTGATGGACACGCAACTCTAACCCAGGCTCCCTGTGCGGACAGACGGGCTGGGACTGAAGACGCTCCTGGGCTTGGCACAGTCCCAGAGGCGGACATGTATGACGATTCCGTGTCGGAGACAAGGTTCTGCAGGAAGGCCACCCGGCATCCGGAAGACGGCCCAGTACTTACATGTACATGTATTTGTCCAGCTTCGCTGCAAAATGCCGAGGCATCTCTCCGCAGCCGTAGTAGTTGCGGTCGTTTTCGGGCAGGTGGTCCACGTCGTGGAAGATCACGCAGTCCCACGCGCGGTCCCGCGTGGCCTCCCGGAAGCCCACGTTGAAGAGCATGGCGCGGTTGAAGGGCTGTGAGCCGGTCTGCACGGGAGAGAAACAGAGAGGCCACGCGGGCCGGGTCGCCTGGCTTTTCTCCCAAGTTTCCTAACGCGGTGCCTCATGGCCAGATAATAAGCACATCGGAATCAGCAGCTACAATAGTCAACACACCCCAGGGTTTTCAAACGCCCATTTAAACTTACAGGCATTATTTCATGCTCTGGTAAATTACAAGACGTCATTATCTAGCCCACGGGTGAGCAACACATTCACAGGATGACAGCATTCCTGCTTCTGTTATACGTCAAATATCAGGATGTAGGTTACTTAGGAGTTTCTGTTGCTCACATCTGTTCTTTTCTTAGATGTCTTCTATTCCCTCCAGGGTCTCCATTTTTTATATTTTTACGCTCCCTTTTGTTCAATCGATTTTGTCTCCACAGGTTAACCAGGTAACTTTGGGGGGGGCGGGGAGGAGGGAGGAGTGCTGCACAGAGGCGCTGAAAAGCCGAGGGCACGGCGCCTCTGTGTGTGAGGCTGGTGGCAAACCTCTCACCTCCAACACACACACCGCACATACACCACGCGTGTGCGTGAGCAAACCCCTACACTGAACCAAAGCCACACCCGCCCCTCGGCTGCTGTGCTACACGCCCAGGCTCAGCCAGGGGCGAGGCCCCTGCGCAGGACAAACCCGGCAGCACTGTTCCCTGGTCTCCACTGTTCACGCCGCACCCCACTCCCCAGCAGATAATGTCATTTGGAAAGCCATGTCGCCCACACCCAACCACTGCTCACCTCCTCCCACCGCAGCCACGTCAGCATCCTTCCTACCTGGACAACCGCACGGCTTCCTAATTGTTCTCCTTTAGCCTGGTCCCCTCCGTCTATACTGTGCACAGTCAGCGTATTAACGCGACAGTTAGATCATGCATTCCTCTCCTCGAAACCCTCAGAGTCTCCCCATCGTGTGTGGAATAGTCCAGCTCCTCCCTGGGCAGGTTAAGTGCTTCATTCCCTGCTTCTCACCCCCTCTCTGGTTTCCTCCCTGACATTCCCTTCCACTCATCCCTCCAGCAAGGCTGACCCCATCGCCCAGGCACTCCGCACGTCTCCTGCCAAAGCCCATCCCCCAGCATCAGCACAGCTCCTTGCTTTACACCACTCAGGGCTGCTCCAACCTCACCGCCGCCGAGAGGCCTTCCCTGAATGTTCTGCTGAGGCTGGTGCCAGCAGTCCATCTGACTCCTGACTTCCAGAAACGTGTCCGAGCCTCCCCACTATTCCATCGCTTTGTCCTTGCGGTTCAATACCTTTTTACCAAGTGTTTTCTTTCATTCTCATGTTGGAGGTTGGAAAGGAGAAGGGTGAATGTGTGTGCAATCTTCCACATTTAACGAGGAGCTCTGGGGCTTCCAGTTTAGCGCTTCTGGGCACTGGCCCAGCAGGAAAATTACTCCTGTTTCACATGTGGTAACGATGCTACATGCCATCAAGTACACCAGCCTGAATTAACATCGATCGAGGCTGAGGTTCCGACTGAAGAGCTTTGTGAAATATGGATCTCGGTTGCTTTGCAAGGATGCCTTTGTTGTGCACGTGAAGTGACTTAACGATGCTGGGCTCTGGGGAGACTACGCCTTCCAAAACGCAGAAGCAGACACTCACCTCCCCACATACCGTGGAGACTGAAGCTGTGAAAAGGAAGCTGGCAGCCGGGAAAGCTGACCTGGAAGCACACAACTATGGCTATCGTGGAAGTAGCTAAATTTTTTACTTATGATCCGGTTTTAGAAAATCAATTTTCACAGTAGAGATTGTTACCTAAAACTGTACCTATGCACGATGCACTATATGATCATCAGCTGCACAGGGAACAAGCCTTCAGGGGGATGTGCATACAGAGAAGCAAACATCCTATTAAAAACCAAGGACTTCCAGAGAAATAAATAGAGGCAAGAGGCTACGAGCAAGAAATTAAAAAAGAAAAAAGAGAGTAGATGACTTCCTAGAATAAACCACACAGGAGCTGGCAGAACACACTCTATGACAATCTGAGGAATAAAATGTGAGTACTGTCTACCTCCAAAAACCAGCAGCTATAAAACAGGTCACTTCCTGTCTACTGATATATAAGGAAATACATTTTTAGTCAGGCTTAGTGTGAGTAAAAGAGAAATGGAAAAATTGGGATAAAATGAGTTCATCAATGTCAAAACCAGAAGTATCCAAATGATATGTATTTGACACACAAACAGAATGTACAGTTTTCGCAATGCTGTGTAGAAATCAGAGGTGAAATTCAATAGGCGCCCTAATGTTTGGGAGCTGGGGTGGGGGAACGACCAGAAAAAAATCAAAGATGATATTTTAAGTGTAAAACTAGGTAATTACAGAAGCAGGAAAAAAGTACAAGTATGGAAAAGATCTCAAAAGGCTTCGAATAAGACAAAAGGAATCCTAGATAATAAAAGGCCAGAGGCATCACCACCGAAATGACCAAAGACCAGACCACCACAGCCCCTCGTGGGCTGGCCCCGCCCCCAAGCAAGCGGTTAGGGGCAATCAGGCAGGCAGGCAGAATGGTTAGGGGTGATCAGGTAAGCAGACCAGCAGTTAGGGGCGATCAGGTAGGCAGACGGCCCCCTCGCAGGGCTGGCCCCACCCGCCAGCAAAGAAAGAGGGAGGCCACTCGTGGCAGGCGGGGGGTGGGGGGGTGGGGGAGGAGTGCTGCACAGATGGCAAGCAGTGGCAGCGGCGGGGGTGGGGCCAGCTGCCTGCAGCCAGGGGAAGGAAAGCCCTGATAGGCCCTGATCTCAGGCCAGACCTAGGGACCCTACCCGAGGGGTCCCAGATTGTGAGAGGGTGCAGGCCAGGCTGAGGGACCCCCACCCCCACCCCCGAGTGCATGAATTTTCATGCACTGGACCTCCAGTTGTGTATATAAAATACTGAGGCAAGAGAAATATTTAGAGAGAAAAATTGGCTGGTAATACAAAGAAGAGAGAAACAAATATTTAGTTTAATAGGTATGATATAAGACAGTGATGGCGAACCTTTTGAGCTCGGCGTGCCAGCATTTTGAAAAACCCTAACTTAACTCTGGTGCCGTGTCACATAGAGAAATTTTTTGATCTTTGCAACCATAGTAAAACAAAGACTTATATTTTTGATATTTATTTTATATATTTAAATGCCATTTAACAAAGAAAAATCAACCAAAAAAATGAGTTCGCGTGTCACCTCTGACACACATGTCATAGGTTCGCCATCACTGGTATAAGATGAGTAAAAATGCTAGGAGTACATCAACTGATAAATGGATTAACAGAGTGTAGTATGTGTGCCACTACCAGTTCACTCCAAAATTCAATGAAATCCAAATATAAAACCAAGCATTCTAGTTACCTGGTTAACTGAAGCTAAATATTTTTAATCCGACCACATCTAAGAGTGCATTACGTTCTAATAGATGTGTTACCTTTTTGAAAAATATCCTCACCTGTTCGATGACATAAAAGGCGAATTCCAGCCGCTGTTTCTGGAGCATCGGAATCAGGTGCAAGAAGAAAATTGGCAGGTGTTCGTGGCGATTGCGGAAAGGGATGAGCACTGCCACCTTTAAAGCAAAACAGTCGCACGTGAACAACAGAGCAGCAGCGCCGGAGGCAAAACTAAGCGCTGACCCTCACGAACTGACGACGGTGTTAGAGCCACACCCTGACGAGTCTTCTCACCGGGGACCTAGCAGTGAGCAAAAGCAGGCATGGCCCTTGCCTTCGCCACCTTGACCTGGGGAACCTGGGGCGGTATGCGTGGGCTCTGAGGGCCGTTCTAAGGCGTGTGGTCGTTATCCCGTGAGCACCAGGAGCAGTCGTGGGAAGACGGAAAAAGCCTGATAAGGTCAGATATGGTGATGGCAGAGACTTGGTGATAGAAAGCCAACAGTGGACTGGGAGATGGTTTAGAAATCTTCGCAACAGTTGAGACAAGAGGTGAGGACAGCTTGACCTGAGAGGCGGTTGGAGAAGAAGAGAGGTGCATGTTGTTTTGAAACATCTAAAAGGTCGACAGACAGGATTTGTTTATGGATGAGGTGTGAGAAGTGAGGGAGAGGGATATGTCAAGAGTAACTTCTAGCCCGGCCCGTGTGGCTCAGTGGCTGAGTGTCAACCTATGAGCCAGGAGGTCATGGTTCGATTCCCGGTCAGGGCACATGCCCGGGTTTCGGGCTTGATCCCCAGTAGAGGGCGTGCAGGAGGCAACCAATCGATGATTCTCTCTCATCATTGATGTTTCTATCTGTCTCACCCTCTCCCATTCTCTCTCTGAAATCAATAAAAATATATTTTACAAAAAAGTAACTTCTGGGTTTTAAAGCAGATCATAAATAATAACCTTATGTGTTTAAATTGAATTTAAGAGAGATACCACTTACATATCTATTATCCTACACATGGCTTATCTGGCCTAGAGGTATTTTTAAGCAATATAAGAGATGTGTCCTGGGATATACATGAAGTTTTATCATTACATTAACATTTTTCATTTAATCAAAATGCACAATTAAATTTTGCTACATTTTATGTTTTTTTCAGTGGTAAGATAATATTCAGGTTAAAATAAAATAGACAATAAAATTATGTTTAAAATGCTTAACAAAAAGATCATGTAAGCACAGAAAACAGAGAAATTTGTCCTTAAGTCCCCCCCCCCCAAAAAAAAAGAAAAAAATATACTATATATGGAAATTAAAATGGTTTCTCAGCAGGTCAATTTTTTGTCTAACAGTAAAAAACCCATTTATTGAAACTATCAAAATCAAGACTAGAAAACACCATCTATATAAAATGTGTTAATGTAACATAAGAATATGTGAATAATTATCAATCATCACAACTCAAATACTCTATTTTCTGGATCCCAACTTTGTCATACAAGCCAAGTCACCCCATAACTCAGTTTGCCCTTGAAACAGCTAAAATGTTTTCTAAATATTACTTTCTTAGCAATTTCTGAGCTAAACTGGCTTGAGCATAATTGTAAATTTTCTAATGAAATCTGAAATTAAAATAACTTTCCTATACATTATAAATTCCAAAATCGTTACATTTTCAAAGAACATAACAGTCAAACTATATCTAATCAAAATTTATGTTGCTCTACATTCTGGATTTTTAAACACAATCTAAGTTGGCTATTATAAAAAATTATTTAAGACCATTAAATCTGGGACTTACTAGAATTCCACATCCAAATAAATGTCACTAACAAATAAGTGTAAATAACTGGGAGTGCTAGGTTTAGGACCTAATCCTACCTGTGAAATCAGGGCATGGCATTAGCTACAGCCAATAAAAATAAAAAAATAGTAACATTCACTTGTGTATATTATATTACCAGGATCATAAATGAGAGAAATTTTAAAATTCTTAAAATGGTTTTACTTAGAGCAAACAGGAAATGCTTTAGTCAAATTAAAGATGTCTAACCCAGAAACTCCACCACTAATTTTCCCTTCACGCTGATGGGAGAGCAGAGAACGGCTGTGACAAGGCTGGTGTTTTCATGTTTACTCTGTCTTACCCAGTGTTTGCTAAGTGGTAGGAACTAAAGAGGGCCTGGGACCCTGCCAGCCCCAGCTTGGATCCCATTCCCTTTTGGTTTGCCCTTAAGGTACCTCCTGGCTTATGAATTTGAGGCACAAAACTGCCAGAGCAACCCTCATCCACATCCCTTCCTCCCCGCTCCCCCCCGCCCCCCCCCCCCCACACACACACACACACACACACACACGCACGCGCGCGCGTTAGGGCTACTGCTGTGCTGGGCTCTCCCTGCTGACCGGGGCCTCCCCGGTGGGCGGCACTGTCCATTACTAGTGTATCCTAGCAACCTCCAAACCCATACAACTCCCAGGGCAGGTCAGGGACCCTGGGTGACTCTTAGGAGAGGAAACTGCTATGAAAAGATAAAAGAGAAAGGAATGAGACAGTGAGTGCAGGTCCCTACCACAGCCTTCTCTGAAGCGCACCAGGGTGGAGACTTGTACTGAAATGAGGAAGCTGGTCCCGGTTCTGAACGAGCCACAAGCTGGCATCGATGGGCGATAAGAGCCGTTCAGGCGAGTTACAGATATAAGGGAAGAGGCTATGAACTCCTAGTAGCTCCAGAGTCCATATCATTTCAACACAATTAGGCTGAGTGCTGAGTTAAACATATAAGAATAAACAACGGTAAGGTCACAGCCCGTAATGCAGCCATTTCTTCAATGAGGCATTTAAAAGATCAAGAGTTGCTTTTGTCTTTAATCTTATAAGGACACTGAGAATGTCCTAAGTGTCCTGGCAAATTCAAATAAGCAAAACCGTTGTTTTAATAGCAAAGAAATGTCCACATTTGAATGAGACAGTTAGGAGAAATTCTGAATGGTGTGCCTAAAGCAACGTTTTTGTTCAAACCAAGCTGAACAGAATCTTAACATTTCCCCCGGCCTGTCCCTTCTCGCGGCTGTGGACTGATGTTCCCGATAATTTACAATTTATTGCCTAGGAAAAGATCTCCGTGTCCTGTGACCAGTTATCTCCAGCGCTCACAGCCTTGGTTTCGGGACGTTCTGCCTTAACTGTGCCCTGATCTGCTGGTGAGCCCGTCCTGCGGATGCATCTCCAGCGGCAACAGAGAACATCTGGTCGTTACCTCCTGCAAACACCCTTCATCATCTCCTGACGCTCCACACCCCTCTCGTTCAAGCACAATTACCCCGTCAGCCCCTCCCACTGAAACCACGGACCTTACTGCCTCTGTGCCTGTTTCTCCTCCCTGCCTGTTTGCTCCTGTCGCACCAGCAAGAGATCCGTGCATAGGCGTCCCCACCTGTTTGCGTCCTACTTTTAAACGCCCAGCAGCCCAGCTGTGGTGGCCCTAGAGCAGTGGTCGGCACACTCATTAGTCAACAGAGCCAAGTATCAACAGTACAACGATTGAAATTTCTTTTGAGAGCCAAATTTTTTAAACTTAAACTATATAGGTAGGTACATTGTTATTAACTTAATTAGGGTACTCCTAAGGCTTAGGAAGAGCCACACTCAAGAGGCCAAAGAGCCGCATGTGGCTCGCGAGCCGCAGTTTGCCAACCACGGCCCTAGAGGACACGGCTCCACACCTGCCCCTGTGAGGCGCTAGCCTCCTGCCCCCCCCCCCACTCATTCAGGTCCATCGAGCCTCCTCCTCTGTGGCCCAGTGCCTCCAGGAGCTCCTCACACAGGAGGCACTTGATAGGAAACGCAGCTGAGTCCCTTCCCACCCAGAACCGGCCTGTCTGGGGACTGAGGGCCGTGGTCTCCGTTAGCACCAAACCCCAGGTGGCTCTGAGGCAGGTGGCGAGGACCCATCGAGGAGCTGGGACGGGCAAGGGGTCCCAGGCCTCTGCGGAGATAACAGCTTCCGGCAGCGGCCTGGCCCTCGAGCCTGCAGGGTTTAGACCAGGCCGCCCGGCCGCCCCCTGACCCTGCGTGGAAAGGCAGTGTCCCAGGCGCACCCTCCATCTCCGACCTCCTGTAGAAGCAGCATCCGCCTGCGCTGGGTCTACCATGCAGGCCCGCCCCGTTCAGCTGTGCCGGGAACGGCTGAAATCCCTGGTTTTAGAGCTCAGCTCCCAGGAACTAGCCGTTCATTAATGGATCTTTTACGTGTTTTTAAAAAAGGACCTCAGATGTTAAGAATCAAGTTAGTAGCAATGTTTAACATAAATCTAGTTATTCCTTCTCTCCCCGTCCCCTCAGCTCTGTTGCAAGGCTCGAATGGGACACTGTTGAACGTAAGTGGCAGGGAGGAGGGTCACTTAGTTAACTAACTATGGCAAGGACAGGCCACCTCTGAGTGAGCCCCGAACTTCCTCTCACGCCTTTACCTGAACGCCTCGGAACCAGAGACTGTATTCTCAGCAGGATCTGTGCAAAGCTGAACTAAAAGCAGCATTGCCACGCAGCTCCTAAATAAATGAGCTGATTTTCAGATCCCTCAGTTAGCTTGCTCCTAGGAACTCCACTTTCCGTACTGCTGTCCACTGGTTTGCGTGGACAACACTGATAGCCTACTGAAATCTCTAAGTCGAAACTCCCTATGTGCGTCTATAGGGTGTCCCAAAATTCACGCAAGATTTGAATTTTGCGTGAGCATTAACAACAACAACAACAAAAATAAAAGCCTAATTTTACTTGGTTTATTGAATCAGATTCTAATATCTGTTGCCCTTTGATTTCAATCCCTTCAATTTGATTAGCATTACCAAGTACCAATTACGGCCCAGGAGCAGGGACAATGAAGACCAATGAAGACCACGGCTTTGCGTATGTGCCAGCAAAGCCATGGAGGCCATTTACCCGATGTGCTATTCCATATATAACCCTATGCTGTATACTTTATGAATCAATAAAAAAATTTACAATTTTTCATTATAAACCTATGTTTTCTATCAAAATTACTTCTTGCGTGAATTTTGGGACACCCTATACCTGTCTGCTGGAAAGTGAGAAGAAACCAAGCCATAACATTTAAAGTCCAGTGTCTGATAGGGAGCTCTGGAGAACAGACAGGAATACTTCGTTTCTCTAATCCCAAATCACCCTCTGCAATGCCACACAGCGCACTCCCGAGGGCCGCCCCGAGCCCACACGAGTGTATGTGTGAGGACCCCTCCCTGCTAACCCACAGCCTGCGACTGAGGGGCTCGCCTTCATCGCATCCAACATACACGGTCATCACCCAAGTCAGATAAACAATGTATCTGCCCAGGACGTGTTTAAAAAGTGGGAGTTATAGAAATTGGGCCACATTATATATACAAATGGGAGGAAAGTCAATCAGGAAATATGGAAAGATTCATTTATTAACCAAATCTGAGCTGGAAAATAGCAGAGGACAGTTAGTAAAATAGAATGTTTCCCCAACATTTGTACTGGAATTCCTTTAGGCAGCCTCCCAACTGAACGAGGCATTTATTTGTCACATAAACTCAGTGCAACGAAGCTGGGTTTAGCGCTTGCCGTATACGGGGTGGGGGAAAGTAGATTACGGCTGTAATACTAATAACACAAGAATTCGTAATAATACAAGAACAAACCCTGTTTCGCAGACTCACAACAGTAAACCTACTTTTGCCCACGCCGGATATGACAACATGCTCCAAGTTTGGGAGCGCAGATATAAAAGAGACACATTCCCCAAACAGGAAGAGCTCAAGGCCAATTAAGGAAAGGACTTTTATCATAAGCTTAACAGCACGGACTTCTCCCTCCCAGCGGTGATACTGTTCTTGTACACCAGAAAAACCCACAAGCATTTCAGCAGAATACTAAGATTTCAAAAGAGAAGTTGGAAACCACTCCCAGATTAAGGTGACATCACAATCCTTTAGGACATAACCTTTGATTTAATCAGATGTAGTTTTCAGTTCACTTGCGTCAGTACCACTTCCTCTTCAACCATAAAAACATCGCCTGGCTGTGCATTTAACCAGTTTCATAGTCGTGAGAGCAAGTCGAGGCTAAGCCGGGGTTTTCTATTACAGCGCTTTAAGCAGCAGAGGCAGGCTCTCCCCCTTACTGTTTTTCAAATAAAACATTAAGTGGAATTCCGACATAACAAAGAGATCAAAAGTTGGTACTCTGGCTCAGGCGGCGTGGCTTAGTGACTGAGCATCGACCTATGAACCAGGAGGTCACAGTTCAATCCCCAGTCAGGGCACAGGCCTGGGTTGTAGGCTCGATCCCCAGTGTGGGGTGTGCAGGAGGCGGCTGATCAATGATTCTCTCTCATCGTTGATGTTTCTCTCTCTCTCTCTCTCTCTCTCTCTCTCTCTCTCTCTCTCTCTCCTTCTCCCTTCCTCCGTGAAATCAATAAAAACATCTTTGAAAAAGAAGTCTGTGCTCCGCCTTCTGAAACAGAGGTGAAGAGCCCCGCGCTCTCCTTTCTGTCTCATAGGAACCTCTGAGTGGCCTCTTTAGAATTCTGGGCTCAGAGGAACAGAGCCTGAAAACCCCAATGTTGGACCCAAGCGGAAACCAGGACATTACTACCCTCCCCATGCGCTGGCACCGGCTCCCGGACCTGGAGGGGCCGTGCCTCAGGTGTCAGCAAGCACTAGGGACAGGTGGTGCAGGAGGCAGAGCAATCACGGCCTCTCCTCCAGACAGAACAGAACTGCTACGGGATCTCTAAGACTGGTGATAACACGTGAGCATACACTTTACATGTGAAGACTGGTGATAACACGTGAGCATACACTTTACATGTGAAGATACAGTTACAGTCTTCCTGAGGAACAATATTAAATGGCATCTGTGAATACCTATGCATCCTGTATAATAAAAGCCTACTATGCAAATTGACCCAACGGCGGAACAACCCGTTGCTATGACGCGTACTGACCACGAGGGGGCAGATGCTCAACGCAGGAGCTGCCCCCAGCACACAGGCCCCAGGTCAGCCAAGGTGAGTTCCAGCGGGGGCCCCCACAACCCCTGATCGCCCCGCTGGTCATCCCACAGATGGGCCTGATCGCCGGCCAGGCCTAAGGACCCTACCTGTGCATGAATTTCACCAGGCCTCTAGTTAAATATAAAAGTGTTGATTTCTTAAATCCATCCAGACCTAAAGCTGTTTCACTGTGTATTCTGAATCGAGCACACGACTCCCCGGAGGCACAGCAGCGTCGCCCTGCTCTCGAGCAAACGTGCCTCACCTTCCACCTGGGCTTGCAGTCCTTCGGCCTCCAGTGTCCTCCGGGCTCAATGTCTACGTCCTTGGAGAAGAGTTGATGAATTTCATCAAAACTGACTTCACTTACGTTGACATTGAGAAATCCCCCTGGAAGGTCAAGAACAGGAAGAATGGTTTTAATATATTTTTTTTTCGCCTCAAAGATGAAGTAAGACAAGCCAGCACTCAGTAGGGTAAGCGGCGTAACTCAGCTGCCAGAGCAGTACGGTTCGTTCCTGTTATCACCACATAATTGTTAGTATTACCCCCTTTCCATTTTAGTTTGCAAGATAAATTATATGGTCACTCTATCATTACCTTTAGTAAGTCAACCTAAAAAAAAACAACATATTTAACCTTTTGGTTTTGAGTAATGAGTATTTTCATAGCCTTTGGGAAATGTTTGCATGTCATTTCAACTTTGCACATCATTGCAGTTTAGCAGCTATTCAAGTTATTTACACATTATGTTTAATTTCAACACAGTCGACAGAGGGGACACAACAGCACAGCACAAAAGAGGTAATGAATTCAGCAGTCAGCCTGACCAGAAGCTGTCGATTGGAGAAATTATTTCACTTCTCCGTGCCTCGGTTTCCCCACGGGTAAGTGGCGATGGTAATGCCTGCCTCCCAAAGGGGTTGTACCCATGAGATGAAATAGAGTGTGAAGGACCAAGCAGAGTGCCAGCACAAAGGTACACACTCACAAATGTCAGCTACTATTACTGTCATTTTTAAGAGAGAAAGTCTGCAAACACAATTCTGCAAATTTTTTAAAAGATTTTTTATTTTTATTTTTAGAAAGAAAGGAAGGCTGAGGAAGAGAGAGAAAAACATCAGTGTGAGAGCAAAACACTGATCGGCTGTCTCCTACAGGGGATCGAGCCCACCACCTGGGCATGTGCCCTGACCAGGAATCAAACAGGCAACCTTTCGGTGCATGGGACGATGCCCAACCAACCGAGCCACACTGGCCAGTGTGTAATTGTGCAAATTTATTTTTTAACATGTTTTTATTTATTTTAGAGAGAGAAGAAGGGAGAGGGAGAGAGAGATAGGAACATCAGCCTGCTGCCTCCTGCATGCCCTCAACCGGGGATTGAGCCTGCAACCCAGGCATGTGCCCTGACCAGGTATTGAACCAGCGACACTCAACCACTGAGCCACACCGGCTGGACTGCAAATTTATGTTGCGCACCTACCACATATCCCCACAGATCTGCTATCCTGAAGGTGTCTCTCCTAATAGGTTTTCTAGCGTATACCATTGAAAGAGGAATAATCTTAGTCAGAAAATCATTTCCATTCCCTTAAAAACAAAACGAAGAACTAACAGGACAAAGTTCTTTCCAGCCTCCTCATCTCACAAAACAGAAACCAACAAATGTTGAGGTTCCCATTTCTGAGCCTCCGTGGCCAGGATTTCACAATACAGTGGGGCCTTGACTTATGAGTGTCCCGACTAACGAGTTTTTTGAGATACCAGCTGTCTCTCAGCCGATTTTTTGCATTGAGTTGATAGAGTAATTTGAGTTAATGAGCTCCTTAAGGAGCTCCTTAACGAGCTCGGTCTCGGAACGAATTAAGCTTGTAAGTCAAGGCCCCACTGTATAAAGCATGCAGTTCCGCTCCGGGGAGCCCCTTTCCTCGCTTCTGCTCCTCTATTCCAGAGGCTTCCTCAGCCGCCTCTCCCCCCAGCGCCCTCTCCATCAGTGGCTTCCCTGAAGCACGGAGGCATGCTGGGAAGAAGTATTCTAACGTGCAAATGCCTGGTCAGACTGCAGGCCGAAGAGTCCCGGGTTCGATTCCGATCGAGGGCACGTACCTCGGTTGCAGGCTCCTCTCCAGCCCAGGCCCTGGTCGGGGCACGTGCAGGAGGCAACCCATCGATGAGTTTCTCTCACATGGATGTTTCTCTCTGTGTCTTTCCCTCTCTCTTCCACTCTCTATGAAAAAATCAATGGGAAAATATCCTCGGGTGAGGATTAAAAACAAAAACATAAAAATAAAACGCAGATGCCTGGGTTTCACAGAACAACCTAGGAAAAAATTCGCAATCTTCTATCTGCCTGTTCTGCTGACAATGTTTGTGGTCTTTTAGAACCAAATGCAAAATCCGGCCCTGCAATCAACTGAAATGCGCACAAATAAATCTAATGCATTGAATAGTATGCTAGATTGCTAAAATGATAGTAATCAGGCTAAATGATATGCAGCTCATAGAAGTCACTGAGGCTGGTGTTCTGTATGCACTGCTAAACCAATTTAGGGGCCTTTCTTCCAGCTTTAATGCTTCAACAGCTGTAATCATCATGACTGTTGGGAGTTTCTCCAGGATCGTTTGCAGTGTAACTTGCCTCTTGCACACCCGCGTGCTGGCGAGTGAAGAGGCAGCCCTGTATCTTGCTCCTCGATGACCAGGGCCTCCCGTGTCCACCACTCACTCCTGGCTGCCACCCCCACACGTTCCTCAGAGTCCCTCAGCAGCTTTGCTCTGTGCTTCTGCTCTTGGCTCTGAGACCCTAGCAACGTGCTGGCTGACGGCCCAAGGTGACCCAGTGGCATGAGGTGGGCATGCCAGAGGTAAGAGCAACGTTTTTTTCTGGATTGTGGGAACGGGAACGGGAACAGTGAAGGTGTAATCACAAAGAACAGAAAGAATCAGCACTCATTCTTGGAGGGGGGTGGTTAAGTGAAGATCCTGTTCACAGGAAGGGAAGGGAGAGAGCACAGTATAGAGCTCGGCGTGCCAGCATTTTGAAAAACCCTAACTTAACTCTGGTGCCGTGTCACATATAGAAATTTTTTGATATTTGCAACTATAGTAAAACAAAGACGTATATTTTTATCTTTATTTTATATATTTAAATGCCATTTAACAAAGAAAAATCAACCAAAAAAATGAGTTCGCGTGTCACCTCTGACACGCGTGTCATAGGTTCGCCATCACTGATACAGACTATGGCCAGGAAGAGGCCCTGAGCAGAACTAGTGGTGACGCGGTTTCCAAACTGTCCCCACTAGAAAGAATCCCTCAAGGTGAGCCTGTGGTCAGGAGAGGGAGGACTCGGGGTCCTCTCCACTGCACCCACGAAGGCTACTTCACCTCCTGCACCCGTGGGGCTGCCCTTCAGGTTCCACCCCGACAGCGTTCCAGTGTTCACAGGCAGGAGAGGACGCAGCCCCCTCTGCTGCAACCTGCGGAGAGGTCAAGGGCAACTGAAGAGCAAGGATCCCAGCTCCACAGAGAACTCCCGCCCTCAGTCCATTGAGGCTACATCTGAGGTTTTCCAGTGAGAACACGTGCACTCTTTCTGCAGTTAGAGATGAAAAGATGGAAAATAAATGTATTGGCTGAAATCCATTTACCCAACAGACTGTCAAACTACGGCGGGAAGGCCGGGGAGGGTTGGGGGGCGGTAAGAGATCAACCGAAGGGTTTGTATGCATGCATATAAGCATAACCAATGGACACAAGACACTGGGGGGTAGGAAAGGCCGGGGGAAGGTCAAGCGGGGGGGAAAGGAGACATATGTACTCCTCTTTGTAATACTTTAAGTAATAAAACAAAATTTAAAAAAAATCCATTTACCCAGCAGGGAACTCCATCAGCACATACATGTAAATAATGTCATTTATCCAAGCCTCACCCACCATGTGGGAGCTGGGGCTGGGGATAGGAAGGGGAGAGCAGGAGAACTGGGAGCCCGAAGAAAAGGGGGGCTGCCAGTCCGCGAGAGGGTGAAGTGGAGAATGAAGGTCGCGGGCAGCTCCCTGTCAGTCTTGGCAACAAGGCCTGGGGGCCAACCTGCTTCTGTCATGGGCAAGAACAACTAACCGCGCTGCACCCCTGGCGAGGCAGGCCACGGCTGTGACTTCCTAACGCTGAAGTTTCCACAGGTGTATAAATGAGGTATTTAAGTCGGCTCTATAGACATGGACGCTTATAGGTGAGATTGTGCTCTCAAGAAGGTAAGCCTAATGCTGAATTTGCAAGACACGCCACAACGCCTCCCACTTTGGGATGCGGGACCTAAATGGGTCTGGGGTCTGTTAGGTATGTGCAGGCCCCAACCACAGAGTAGTGTTTTCTATTAAAATGTGATTCTTTTTTTTTAATATACAGCGGGGCCTTGACTTACGAGTTTAATTCATTCCGTGACGGAGCTCGTAACTCAAATTATTCGTATGTCAAATCTTAAAGTGAATGAGTGAGACACGTGATGCTGGGCTGATGTTGTCTCTATCCCTTTCCCTTCCTCTCTGTAAAAAAATCAATAAAATATATTAAAAAAAAAAAAAAGAAGGTAAGCCTAATGCTGAATTTGCAAGACACGCCACAACGCCTCGCACGTGGGGATGCGGGACCTAAATGGGTCTGGGGTCTCTTAGGTATGTGCAGGCCCAAACCACAGGGCAGTGTTTTCTATTAAAATGTGATTCTTTTTTTTAATATATATGTATTTTTATTTCAGAGAGGAAGGGAGAGGGAGAGAGAGAAGCATCAATGATGAGAGAGAATCATTGATCGGATGCCTCCTGCACGCCCCCTACTGGGGGTGGAGCCCGCAACCTGGGCATGTGCCCTGACCAGGCCACCTATGAGTCAGGAAGGGGGCCTTCACCAGATGCTGAATCTGCTGGATTAAGACACACCTGTACGCCTGCACACACTCACACTTCCTCCCCCCTCCTGACCTGCCTCACCCGATCCACAACTTTCCAAGTTTGAATTACCCACCCAAAAAATACCACTGAAGCACACAGATTAACCCCATCATCTGGTGGCAGTATCTAATATGTTGCTTTGAACATAGAAAGCTATCAACCAAAACAGATGTCACCTTGTATGTGCATTTTGACGTCACGGGGGTGGCGGAGGGGATCTCTTGGCTAGCCGTCTTTTAATGCATGATCAGTTGCCTCCACTTCTCATTTCCCTACAACTTGTTAAATATTTACTCCTCCCTTCCAAGAGGCACGGTCCTTCTTGGTCGCCCCTCATGTGTGCGTGGCCTCCTACTTTACCACAAACTTGAGAGCGGCAGGCATGAACCCTCTCACTTTCCTCCACCACATCTTCAAATAACGGTGCCCTCGCCTCT